CAGTGTCCTCTGGAGGCCAGGCATAGACCAGGCGACTCTGTGGCCTGCCTCGGTATAGGTGTCTTTGACGTGGAGGTGTCTCTGGCTCGAAAGTCCTCTCTCAGCACCCTTCCCACCCAGGAGATCCTCCTGATGGCTCCCCTCGGGCCAGCCATTCCAGCTGGAGTTGTCTGGGGTGGAGATGGGGTCCCAGGGGTCCCTGAAGGAAAAGGGGAACAAAGAGCAAGTCGCTTCCCTCCTGTCCTCATGTCCCTCCGCTGACCATGGGTCTGCCCTCTCTGTTCCGAATATTTCTGAGAGTGTCCCTGCTCTGGTCTGCTGCTCTGTGTTGTGACCCCTGACCCATGAGACTACGAAGCCCTGCTCAGCCCCTGTGGAGCTCCTCTTAGAGAGCTAAGGGCTTTCTGTTCTCATTAGTCCTGCTGTTTTGTGTCTCTGTCTCGTGTTCATTTTCCTTAACTCTTATTAAGTTTTCCTCGACTATGCATTTGAGTGGCTCTCTGATTGCTTCCAGGATGCTCACTGACACCTACCTTCTCTTCGCCTTTGTGCCCACAGTGGCAATCCAACTAAAACGCGCATTAACAGGTTGTGCAGTTAACAATGGTGTTTGCTACACAGGCCGGGCCAGCAATGTGTTGCCAAGATTTGCTAGTGTGGAGGTGGAGAGATGGCTCAGTGGTTAACAGTACATACCGCTGTTGCAGAGGACCTGAGTTTAGTTCCCAGTAGCCATGTTGAATGGCTCACAACCGCCTGTAACCCCAGCTCTGGGGGAATCAACGCCCTCTTCCGGCCTATGCAAGAACTACACACGCACTTTTTAAACTGAGGGTTAAATTTTCAGTCCTGACTGCAGGTAATTCTGCTTGCCCCATGCATTTGACGACTCAGTGATACATGTAAATGTGGCTTGTCTGTTTGGGGAAGCTGCGGGCCACCCTTTAGAAACTGGGAGCCCTGTGTTAATTATTATGAGACCCAAAACCACAAAGTTTCTGCCGTTTCCCTGCCTCAAGTTTCTGTGAAGCTGTAGCTTCCACTCCTGAGATGAGGAAGTAACAGAATGGGGAGAAAATAAGAGTGACTCCATCCAGTTGGCAGGAGGCCCAGCCCCAGTGTTCACAGAGGAGAGAAGCAGGGTGGTGCTGCTGGTTCTGGGCCAGTGTGGGGAGGTTGGTGCTGGGCTAGTGGGGGGAGGCCTGAGCTGGGATGGGAAGCGAGTGTGTGAGGGTGGGGCTGCGCTAGGGAGTGAGAGGGCGAGACAGAAGGGAGTTTAGAGTTTCAGCTCCAGTCTTAGGTGGGCAGGGGATCTCTGCTCATCAAAAACCCAAGGAAAGCCACCAGACAGGCTGGTTGCCCAGAGAGGTCCAGGGGCAAGACAGGTGTGTGTGTTTTGTGTGTGTGTATGTGTGTGTGTGTGTGTGTTGTGTGTGTGTATGTGTGTGTGTGTGTTGTGTGTGTGTATGTGTGTGTGTGTTTTGTGTGTGTATGTGTTGTGTGTGTGTGTTGTGTGTGTGTATATGTGTGTGTGTTGTGTGTGTGTGTGTTGTGTGTGTGTGTTGTGTGTGTGTATGTATAGCTCTTGAGAGCAAGACTGCGCCTTCAGCTCCATACACAGAGAGACTGGCACATAGTGGGGCTGCTGACTGGACGGATAGATCCCAGCTGCTCTGAACGCTGGGGAATCTCAGTGGAGACAGGGAGGCAGTGTGGTCGGATTAACTCCTGTGAAAAGGGCAGGCAAAGCAGGTGGCCGGAGGCTGGGGACTGGGAAGACAGGGCAGGCTTACCCCATGGAAGTTTTGGGCTTTTAGTATTTCTTGGAAAGACATAGTCAAACTTCATTTGCATGGAGGATGGGCTAAGCCCAGGGTAAATGTAATGATACATCATATGGAACTGTCATGGCACGCATGGCACACACATGGCACACAGCAGACGGGCACTGAACTGAGCTCAGGTCCTCTGGAAGAGTAGCCGGTGCTCTTGGCCACTGAACCATCTCTCCAGACCCTGTGTGTATCTTATTATCTCCTAGGTGGCCTCTGTATTTCTATTTATTTATTTTGAGATGGCTTATTACTGTGCGATCTTGGCCGTTCTGTAACTCGCTATGTTGACCAAGCTGTCCTTGAACTGATAGATACCTGTTCACCTCAGCCTCCTGAGTCTGCATTCTGGGGTTAAAAACATGTACTAACATGTCTGGCCTGAACACTCTTTATAAATATCTCCCCTTTTTTGGTCCTCTATGGCTTTTCCATAATAGAAGAAAAAATCAGAAAAGCTGGCAAGGGTGGCTGGGTATGGGTGTGCACATGTGTGCATGCGGAGGCCAAAGGTCGATGCTGGTGTCTTCCTCAGCTACTCTCCACCTTATTATTTGTGACATGGTCTCTCAGTGAACCTGGAGCTCACTGATTCAGCTAAACTGGCTGGTCAGCAAGTCTCAGGGCTCCTCCTGCCTCTCTTCCTTCCCGCTGCTAGCGTTATTGGCAAACAGCTGCGTCAGTGCTGGGAATCTGAACGCTGGTACCCCTCCGCGACGAGCACCTTACTGACTGAGCCATCTCACAGCCCTGTAAGAAGGATCCATTTACTTCCAGATCTCCCTCACCAAGGACGGCACTTTCTGGGCACAGCTGTCTCGCTGGCCCTAAGTGCCTGTTCTTCTGGGAGACTCTCCAGTGACTCCGGACTCTCCCCCAGATACCTCAGCGCTGCCACGAGCCCTCTCACTGACTGTTCTGTGGCCGCAGTGACCCTGAGAGGATCCCGGCTTGCAGCAGGGAGCGCAATTGTTGGTCCTTGCCTAGCAGCTGCCTGCTTCTTTCTCATTGTGCAACTTTTGGATTCCCCCTCCCCACCCCTGTTGTGTACAGCCCAAGGCCATTTCCCCATGGGGGGGGGGCGCTGACACCATCACTTGTTCGTAGCCTTCCACTCCTTTTATAGATCCAGTTCCAGACTTCGACTCACTGCAAATGAGAACTTCAGGTCTGCAATTTGTGGAGAATTCCCATGAGCCTCTGGGGGAAGCTCTTAGGTACCAAACCTACTGAAGCCTATGGAATGTGGGGTACAATGAGATGACATCACATTAGGCTTATTTTGTGGGTTTTAAATCATATTTGCCTTTGCTACCTTCCATTTCCTTTATTGTTATTTATTTATTGCTTTTTTTTCTTTTTTGAGACAGGGTTTTGCTATGTATTTTAGGTTGGCCCATAAATCACTTCTGGAGCCCAGGTTAACCCTGAAATTTACAGCAATTTTTTAGTCTCCACCTTGGGAATGCTGGGATTACAGGCATGCACCACCACACCAAGCTTCCATTTTTTTTTTTTTGCTTTAAAACTATTTGGTTTTGTTTCCAAATTTTTAATTTATTCTTTGAGAATTTCAGGCATTTATGTGATATGTTTTAGTTTGAATAAACAACTCTAGAGATCAGATTAGGTAAGGAAAAGCATAGAGCTACACACACACACACACACACACACACACACACACACGTCAAATGGAAAGAGCTAGAGACTGGTTTGATTTTGTTTGTTTGTTTTAAACATCTGTTTGTTTCTATTCATGTGCATGAATGTTTTGCCTGAAGGTAAATGTATGTACACTGTATTCATGTCTGGTAACCACAGAGGCCAGATAAAGGTGCTGGATTCCCTAGAACTGGAGTTATAGACACTTGGGAGCTTCCTTATGGTGCTGAGAACTGAACCCTTGTCTTCTGAAAGAGCAACAAGTGGCCTTAACTGATGAGCCATCTCTCCAGTCCCTGGTTAGATTTTCTTGGTGGGGAGACCTGAAATCTCCCCTTTTTAGCACATCTATAGTGGCTCACAACTGTCTGTAACTCTATCTCCAGGGGATCCTTTGCCCTCTTCTGTCCCTTCCGGGCACCAAGCATTCATGTAACGCACAGACATACATTCAGGTAAGTACACATATATCAAAATAAAAATGAATAACTCTTTAAAAAGGATTATCACTGTTTTGCTGGAAGAGGAAGCCTGTCTGTGCTCCAGTAAATAGCCTCTCACCCCATGCTTATGCAGGCAACCGTAATTGAACTCAGTGGGTCACAGAGCAAAACACAAACAAACTCCATACAGGAGGGGGACTTGTCAAGAAGAACAAAAGGATTTAGTGGGGTGGAAATCGAGCGGAAGCAATGCAGGTGAAGATAAAATATGCTTCATACACACGGACTTGCCCAAGAATAACACATAAGCAAAGGCAACAATGAAAAAATTGCCCTGCTTTTTCTGCTTCAGCAACAAAGACCCTGGAGGACGCTGGGGGGAAGAATGACTCCACAGCAAGCTCAAGGGCACATGGCTAAGCCCATAGTAGAAATGGGGGGCTGGCTCAGAGGGTAAAGGTGCTTGCTGCCAAGCTTGGCCACCTGAGTTTGATCCCAAGCCTCACGTGGTAGAAGGAGAGAACTGACTCCCGCATGTTGTCCTCTGGTCTCCACACATGCGCTGTGGCATGTGTGCACACAGTAGAACACACGCGCCGTGGCATGTGTGCACACAGTAGGTAAATAAATGATGCTATAAAATGATGGAAGCAGGATTTGAGTTGGCATGACTCTGGAATCTGGACCTTGAGTGGTGGCGACCTTGGTTCTAAATTAGCTGAACACCTGATGATAACTTAAGTGGTGCTGCCCCGCAGAAAGTCAGAGGGTTGGGTCTGGAGGGATACTGGGATGCTGGGTTGTTGAGAGCAACACAAAGCGTTCATCTCTGCTCTTTGAGTGGGGGCACTCATGACCCCAAAGCTGATCACCGTAGCAAAGGAAAGCGATGGAGATCGAGGAAGTGCACTAACCAAGAAGTGGAGTGGGAGAAACAGGGATTTCCTGGGCTGGAGTTTTCACACTCAGCATCTGGCTTTCCTGAAGGTCCAGCTGTGTGGACTCCCGTGGAGGAGCTGTTCATTCCCTGGAGCGGCTCTTGCTCATCTTCCTCTTTTGTTAAATTGGGAAGTAGTTCAGAGCGAGAAGGAAGTAGATAAGAGATAAACCCAGAGAAATCTCGAACAAAGAGATCTCGAACAAGCCAGAGCTCTGTCACACACACACCTCGATTCCCGCGGCCACCTGTATTTTCCTCAGCCAGCACCAAGTGAGGCAGGAGCATGTGGCTGGGCCCAGGTCTGCTCCTTCTCTGCCTGCGAGGTGAGTGGGTCTATGCTTCTGTGAACCTAGTTTTGCAGAGGGTGGGAGAATGAGATTCCTGGGTTCAAGCCAGAATCGAGGTGTCAGCAGTAGAGGGGCAGCGGACACATCCATTCGCCCAACTTCTCTATCTCCAACATTCTTCCGTGGACTCTACAAACCTTTATTAACTTCATGCCTGGATTTAACTATAAACTGTAACTATAAGCAAATTCCTCAGTCAAGGGAGTCCTATTTGAATGAGGCAGCCAAGTAATTTTACTATGGTGTGGGACTTTCTACAATAAGAACATTCATGGAGAAATAGACCACACCAGGGACCCCTAGTTTTGCTCTCAGAGGAATGGAGGCTTCTTAGAAGTCAGTCTTGATGGATGAACAGGTGTTGAACAGAGAAGCCATAATTTATATTAAGTGTAGATGGAGATCCTAAAGACTGAGAAGTGCAGAAGTGGCAAAGGCTTCATCTTACTGATGCTTGGTTTAAAGAGGTTAGAAAGGTGTGTAAGAAATAATGCATCAGCAGGTGTGATAGCGTGCACCTGTAACACAGCACACAGGAGGCTGAGGCAGGAGCCTGGCAGCTTGTAGGCCCGCCTTGACTATACTGTGTGATCTTGTCTTTAAGAAAAAAATCTTTAAAAGGGCCAAGCATGGTGGTACATGCCTTTAATTCCAGTACTTGGGAGGTAAGGGCAGGGTGGATCTCTGTGAGCAAAAAAAGACCAGTCTTGTCTACATGGTGAGACCTCTTTCTTTAAAAAAAAAAACAAACAGAAACAGAAAAGGAGGAAAACACATTTTCCTGTGGGAAATAGTTGAGGATGAAGATTAGAGAATATTTCTCATCCTTGCAGATGAGTTTTTATGGTTGTTGTTGTTTTTTTTTTTTTAAATGGACTCAACAGAACATAGAATTTAAAGACCAGGATTTACTTATTTTTTAAATTTAATTTTTTTACTGTTTTTATTGAGCTATACATTTTTCTTCACTCCCCTCTCTTTCTCTCCTCCTCTATCCTTCTGTGACTCCCATGCTCCCAATTTACTCAGGAGATCTTGTCTTTTTCACCTTCCTATGTAGATACATGCATGTCTCTCTTTGTGTCCTCTTTGTTGTCTAGTTTCTCTGGGTTGTGGTTTGTAGATTGGCTTTTCTTTACTTTACGTCTAAAAGCCACTTATGAGTGGATACATATTATATTTGTCTTTCTGGGTCGGGGTTACCTCACTCAATACGTTTTTTTCTAGATCCACCCATTTGTCTGCAAATTTTAAGATGTCATTACTTTTTACCACCGTGTATTACTCCATCATGTAAATGTACCACTTTATCCATGCTTCTGTTGAGGGGCATCTAGGTTGCTTCAAGGTTCTGGCTATTACTAATAATGCTTCTATGAACATAGCTGAGCACATGTCCTTGTGGTATGATTCAGTGTCTTTTGGGTATATGCCCAACAGCAGCATTGCTGGGTCTTGAGGTAGATTGTTTCCTAATGTTCTGAGAAATCACCATACTGATTTCCAAAGCAGCTGCACAAGTTTGCACCCCCACCAACAATGGAGGAAGGCTAGGATTTAAAGGGAGGAGACCATTCTGATCACACATAGTTTGCTTTTCTTTCCTTTTTTTAAAAAAAAGAAAAACAAACTATCTTTTTTCATTTTACATACCAATCCAAGTTCCTCCCCTCCTCCCATCCCCTTCACCTTCCCCCACTCCACCCCCCATCCACTTCCCAGAAAGGGTAAGGCACATTTCTTTGGGGAAGGTCCAAGGTCCTCCCCACTATATCCAGGCTGAGCAAAGTATCCATCCAAAGAGAATAGGATCCCCAAAAGCCGGTAGAAGCAGTACGGATAATTCCTGGTGCCACTGCCAGTGTCCCCTCAGTCTGCCCCAGCCGTACAACTGTCACCCACATTCAGGTGGTCTAGTTTGGTCCTGTGCTGGTTGGTTCCTTCCCAGTCCAGCTTCACATCATGGTCTTGACCTCTTTGCTTACATTCTTTCCTTTCTTAATGACATGTGTTCATTCACATGTATGCGGTTATGGGTGGGAAAGCGGGGTCAGAGGCTGGTTTTGTAGAGCCAGTCCTCTTCTTCCACCGTTATGGGGTTTCTAGGGACCTAACTATGACAGCCAGGTTTGCACAGCAAACCACTGAGACATCTTCATGGCCCCTAAACAAAGCCTTCTTGTGAGTAAAGTGAGAGGAGACTAGATGATCTCCATGATCCCTCACCACCATTGTGATCTAGATCTTTCACCAGGAGTTGTATCACACACCTGTCAGCCATTGGGAGACAGAGGCAGGAGGATCAGAAGCTTAAGGACATCCTTAGCTACGTAGCTAGTTCATAGGCCAGCTTTGGCTCCATGAAAATGCCTGGCTTAAAACAATAAAACAACAAACAACAAAACAAAATCTAGATCTTTAGGCTATGTCAGACTATTAGATTCGTAGTGTCACACTTATGAGACACTTGAACTGCCCTGACTGAAGGTGATGATGGTGATGATGGTGGTGACAGTGATGGTGATGATGGTGGTGATAATGATAGTGGTGAGGATGGTGAAGATGATGGTGATGATGATGGTGGTGATGGTGGTGATGGTGATAATGATAGTGGTGAGGATGGTGAAGATGATGGTGGTGATGGTGATGGTGATGGTGGTGATGGTGATGGTGATGATGATGATGATGGTGATGATGATGGTGGTGATGGTGATGGTGATGATGATGGTGATGATGATGGTGATGGTGAAGATGAAGGTGGTGATGATGATGATACACTCTTCATACAGTTTGGAGAGTTGGTGGAAATATTGTAATTACTGGAGTAGATTTCGGAAACTTTGATGGTTGGAGCTGCCTTGTCCCAGAACACGGGAGACAACTACGGGCTTTTCCCTTCTCTACAGTAAAGGGCAGCTTAAAGTCAGGTATGATGAGAATATCGACACCACAGTAACCAGCAAACACCACGAAGCAGGACCACTCCTGCTTCTTTGAGTAAGCTTGTTTACACCTGACAGAATTACCCAAGTGCTGTAGCTCAGTGTAGTTAAACGGAAGATGAGACCCTCTTTTGCCCGCCCTTCAGGAGCTGGCTGGCATCCCCATCCAGCCCATTCACCTTTTCACCAGGGGTGCATCTGCGCCTAGGCGGGCAAGCGCTTACACCCAGATTTAAAATTGAACTAATTGTACTGACATAAAATGCACTCTCCTGCATCTCAGCTGTGGCATATTGCCCTCCTCTTCCACAGAATTCCTCTCCACCCACTGCACCCACCCCAGGTTGTAAACATGGTCTGGGGAAAGTCAGTCATTTGGTATGCCCAGAGGAGACCCACAAGGCTTTATATCGTAAGCCTGAGAATGGGGAACGAGAAAAGGATAGAAAGAAAGATGGTCGGGACAATTCCAGAGTAGGTATGGGAAAGGCCAAGAGAAAGGAAGTGGTTTCTGATATAAAACCAACAGAAATAGTCAGGCGGGGTGGTGCACACCCGGTAGTCCTAGCGCTCAAAGGCCTGAGGCAAGAGGACTGTGAAGTTGAGGCTAGCTTTGGCTTACCAAGGAGACCTTGTCTAAAGGAAAAGGAGGAGGAGGAGGAAAGAAAAGAAAGATAAAGAAAAACAAACCCAAACAACAACAGCAACAACAACAAAACCAAAATAAAAGGCCTACAGCCAGTGCCAGCGAGCCGGCTCACGGTGCGAGCGCTGGCCAGACAAGCCTTGAGTCTGACCCTTGAAGTCCACAAAATGGAAGGAGAGAGCTGACCCCCACAGTCGTCCTCTGACCTCTAATAACACCATGCCCCCACCAACAAAGAAACAAAAATTCAATGAGGAACTAGAACTTCTTTTTTAAAAAACATATTTATTTATTTTACATCTGGACCACAGTTTCCTCTCCCTTCTCTCCTCCCAGCCCCTCCCCCACCTCCCCTCTGAGCTCCTAATTCACTGCTTCTCCTTTACAATTCAGAAAAGGGCAGGCCTCCCATGGACATCAGCAAAACATGGCCTATGAAGTTGCAGTAAGGTTAAGCACCTCCCTTTGTATGGAGGCTGGGCAAGGGGACCCAGTATGAGGAGTAGGGTCTCACAAGCCAGCAAAAGAGTCAGAGACAGTCCCTGTTCCCACTGATGGAGTTTCACAAGAAGACCAATCTACACAACTGTCACATGTATGCAGAGGGCCTAAGTCAGTCCCATGCAGGCTCCCTGGTTGTTGGTTCAGTCTCTGTGAGCCCCCATGAGCCTATGTTAGTTGGTACTGAGGGTTTTCTTGTGATGTCCTTGACCCCTTTGGCTCCTACAATCCTTCTTCCCTCTCTTCAGCAAGATTCCCTGAACTTGGCCTAATGTTTGATTGAGGGTCTGTGCATCTATTTCCAGCAGTTGCTGGATGAAGGCCCTCTGAAGACAACTGGGCTAGGAACTAATCTATGAGCATAGCAGAATGTCATTAGGCGTCATTGACATTTTTTCTCTAGTTCTATCCTAGGCCTCTGGGCCATACAGCTCTGGGTCCCGGTATTCCAGGCAGAAACTAGAACTTCTATTCATTGTATTCTGTGTGGTCCACACTTCCAGGTTTGCAGTGTCATTAGAATTTTATTTGATTGACAAGATGATTGCACACACTTATGGGGTACAATATGCTATTTTGATGTATGTACACATTTTGCAATGCTCAGATCAGTCCTGATATTTATCAAAACACGAATGAACCTGAGGACATCATATTAAATAAAATAACGCCCTGCGTGTGATGCCTCATGCCTCGATCCCAGCACTCATGAGGCAGAGGCAAGATCTCCAGGGCAGCGCTGATTTGGCTACAATAGAGAAACCCTGTCTCAAAAACAAAAACGCAAAAGGCATTTCTGTCCTGGCCCTGTTGCTATGTAGTAGAGAGGTAGGTTCCCTCCTGCAAATTCTGGAAGGTTCTTAGGTTTGATTGGATCAGTGGTTACCAGAGTCCTGGCCTCTGGCTTGAGGTGCCCCACTGGCTGTGTGGAGGCGCTGAGAACACCACCATGGCCCACTGCCTGGTGGTGAGGAGCCTGGAGAAGGAAGGTAATCCCCATCCGGAGGCGTGAATATTGTACAAATGCTCAGATTGGAATCTGGGTAAAATTCTATTTTACCCAACAGTCTGGCTCCCCAGACTCGTGCAGTCAGAGTCGCCATGCCCTCAGCTGACTCAGGCGCTCACACCACACTGAAGATACTGTTCAATTCCGTCATCCGCTGTCTTCTGGTCGAGACGACACCAAGTCTCACTGAGATGCTTGGTTCAGCAAATGTGGTTTTGAACCAGCATGAGACCTTTCGAAGATGGTTCACATAGAGCCTTCTCTTTCAGAAGGCATAATTTTTGTTTTTAGGGTTTTGTTTGTTTGTTTGTTTGAGGCAGAGTTTCTCTGTGCAACAGCCTTCGCTGTCCTGGAACTCACTCTGTAGACCAGGCTGGCCTCAAATTCACAGAGTTCCACCTGCCCCTGCCTCCTGAGTGCTGAGATTAAGAGCGTGCATCACCATGCCCCTGATAATTTTAATATTTAATGAAATAGTAATCATTTTTAGTGGAAAAACTAACAAAAGAAGAAATAATTGAAGTGCAGAATGTTGAGAACCATGTGTTCTCAGCAGCCTGTGGAGCCTGCAGTAGATGTTAACGCCATTTTAGCCTTTGAGCCACTTGTGGCCTAGGCAGGGAAGGCAGCAATGTCCCCATCTTACAGACACATAGTTAGAGGCAATTAAAGGAGACCCCACCCACACCATGGGGACTTCCTCCTGAACCTCAGAGTAGGCACTGACTGCACTCAAACACCTGTTTCACAGAGAGAGCCTTTATTAAGCTGGGAAGAAAAGTTAAAGAAACTGCACCTGACTCAGGCGGAAAACAGCAGCAAATGACCTTGCAGGATGGGGAGGTCTGTGTTAGAGTGGACTAGGATGTATGGTAAAGGAGAGAGGTGGCGAGGGAAAGGGGGGAGGGGTGCCCAAAGGCTGCCTCTGGATAGAGAGGAGACAGATACGACACAGGGCTCAACACCTATTTATAAAGGTAAAGGGGGACCCTCGCGTTAGGATGAGTTGTTTAATTTTAATTGGGCGTGTTAATTAGGAGAGCCAAAGGGGGCTTTTGATTACTGGATCTTGGTATTCAGCCTCAGGAGGAGGAAGTGGCCCCGAATAAGGGAATAGGCCTTGACAGCTAGCTTTAGGAATGCAATCTAATGATTTTTAGCAAGACAGAGGGAATGGGGAGAAAAGGGAAGCCTGCCAGAGACACATGTTTGAGGGGCCTAGTGTCCCTTCAGCAATTACAAGAATGGAAAATGAAGCTTAGATCCACCTCCACGGAGCTCTTAGCACTGGCTATGAGAGTGTACCCTACCCCTACAGTCTCAGCTTACCACATCTTTAGGGTGGCCTCTTTCTCCTTCTAGGAATATGTCCGCTATCGGCCTGGGCCATGTGGGTGGTGCGGACGCTGGCGTCTGTGTCCACTCTGGAGTGCGCAGTTTTCCTCCATCCTCAAATCGTTACAAGCTGCCTGCAAAGTGCGGCTCCTCGGGACTGAGTAGACGACTCCGTGATTAAGAGCACTCCTTGCTCTCACAGAGGACCCAGACTGGTTCTTAGAACCCACATGGAGGCTCACAGCCATCGGTAACTGTAGCTCCAGGGCTTCTCTTCTGACCTCTGTGGGTGTGCACACTACATACATAAAATACATCATAATTCTTTTTTTCAAAACAGGGTTTCTCTACAACTTTAGAGCCTGTCCTGGAACTAGCTCTTATAGACCAGACTGGTCTTGAACTCACAGAGATCTGCCTGCCTCTGCCTCCCAAGTGCTGGAATTAAAGGCGTGCGCCACCACTGCCTGGCTATAAAATTTTTTTTTTTAAAAAATAGAGTCTTCTTCCCTCTCTCTCCCCCTCTCCCCTTTCTCCAACCCCCACCCCCATGCTCCCAACTTTTGTCTAGTGATCTTGTCTGCTTCCATTTTCCAGGAGGATAACTATATGTTTTTCTTTGAATTTACCTTATTACTTAGCTTCTCTAGGATCACAAACTATAGGCTCAATGTCCTTTTTTTTGTGACTAGAATTCACTAATGAGTGAGTGTATACCATATTTATATTTTTGTGTCTGGGTTATCTCACTCAGGATAGTGTTTTCTATTTCCATCCATTTGTATGCAAAATTCAAGATATCATTGTTTTTTACTGCTGAGTAGTGCTCTCATGTGTAGATGTGCCACACTTTCTTTATCCATTCTTCCAGTGAGGGGCATCTAGTTTTTTTTTTTCCAGGTTCTGGCTATTACAAATAATGCTGCTATGAACATAGTTGAACAAATGCTTTTGTAGTATGATTGGGTATCTCTTGGATATATTCCCAAGAGTGGAATTGCTGGATCCTGAGGTAGGCTGATTTCCAATTTCCTAAGAAACCGCCACACTGATTTCCAAAGTGGTTGCACAAGTTTGCATTCCCACCAGCAATGGATGAGTGTTCCCCTCACTCCACATCCTCCCCAGCATAGGCTATCTTTGGTGTTTTTGATTTTAGCCATCTGACAGGTGTAAGATGGTATCTTAAAGTTGTTCTGATTTGCATTTCCCTGATAGCTAAGGAAGTTGAACATGTCCTTAAGTATCTTTTGGTCATTTGAAATTCTTCTGTTGAGAATTATCTGTTCAGTTCAGTACCCCATTTTTTAATTGGGCTATTTAGAATTTTAATGTCTAGTTTCTTGAGTTTTTTATATATTTTGGAGATTGGGGAGAGCTTGGGGGAGTGGGATGGTTGAAATGGAGGAAGGAAAGATATGGGAGCAGAGAAGGAGATATCTTAATTGAGGGAGCCATTTTCGGGTTGGCAAGAGGCTTGGCTCTGGAGGGGTTCCCAGGAGTCCACGGCTAGGACCCTGGGCAGTGGAGGAGAGGTTGCCTGAAATGGCCTTGTCCCATAGTCAGACTGATGACTATCTTGAATATCACCATAGAACCTTTGTCTGGCGACAGATAGAGACAGAGACCCACACTGGAGCATTGGACTGAGCTCCCAAGGTCCAGTTTAAAGAGCAGAAGGAGGGAGAATATGAGCAAGGAAGTCAGGACCACGAGGGGTTGGTCCACCCACTGAGACAGTGTGCCTGAGCTAATGGGAGCTCACCAAATTCAGCTGGACTGGGACTGAACGAGCATGGGATCAAACTCGACCCTCTGAATGTGGCTGACAATTGGGGCAGGCTGAGATTCCAATGATAATGGCACTGGGATTTGTTTCGTGTACTGGCTTTTCAGGATCCTAGTCTATTTGGATGCACAGTTTCCTAAGCCTAGATATAGTGGGGAGGGCCTTGGCCCTCTCTTAGGACTGGAGGGGGAGGGAGGGAATATGTGTGGGAGAGCAGGAGGGAAGTAGTAGGAGGGGAGGAAGTGGAAATTTTGATTGGTATTATTTATAAAGTAATAAAAGCAGTTAAAAAAGAAGTATAACTAAGAAACATAAAAAATAGAGTCTTGCTAGGCAGTGATGGCACACACCTTTAATCCCAGTACTTGTGAGGCAGAGACAGGAGGATTTCTGTGAGTTTAAGACCAGACAGGTCTACAGAGAGAGTTTCAGGACAACAAGGACTACACAGAGAAACCCTGTCTCGAAAAAAACCAATATACACATGCATATATATAGTCTCTCATGGCAAGACACAGTCTGGAAAAGTATTTTACACAATACGAAGTAACTTATGGCAGGGCACACAGCCTGGTTGCAATAGTGGAGTAAATCAGGTTTTTCTGTTTGTTTGTTTTGAGATGCTCTGCTATGGAGTTCAGGCTGGCTTGAAATTACTATGTAGGTGAGGCTGTCCTCAAACTCAAAATCCCCTTGTCTTAGCCTCCTGGATATGAGGAAGCCTCCTCCACATGCAATTTAGAAGTAGAATTTTTGAAGACCAAATTGGACTTGCAGAAGATTCCAGAATGCGGAAACTTGAGGCCAGAGGAAGTGACTTGCATGCGATCAAACTTTATGCCAGCCTTGACCTCACTTAACCGTCCCTAAAGGCGGGGTCCCTGTGTGGTCACTTGGTGCCAAGTCTCCACTGGGGACAGGTTTCTTCTTGTCTCTGCCACAGACTCTAGTCCATTTGGCTTGGGTCCCACGTGCAAATGTCCCTCCGAGTCCTCTTCCCGGATCTCCCCTTGCCTCAGAAAAAGTTCCTTCCGGGCCCATCGGGAAGGAGGCCTCAAGTCGGGCTTATGTTTTCTAGGCTGCTTCTCTCTGACCGGCCCTGACTCTGTGTCTGGCTACGTGGGAGGCTCTCTCCAGGTGCAGTGTCAATACGGAGAGTCGTACAAGGACCACGTGAAATACTGGTGTCGAGGACCGCACGACACAGAATGCGAAACTCTTGTGGAAATCAAAGGAAACGGGGAGGAAAAAAGGAATGGCCGAGTGTCCATCAGAGACCATGCTGAGAACTTCACCGTGACAGTGACCATGGAGGACCTCAGCCTGGATGATGCTGGATCTTACTGGTGCAAGATTCAGACTTTCTTTATCTGGGATTCCTGGTCACGTGACCTAGCAGTCCTTGTAAAGGTACATGTTTTACCAGGTAAGACTATGCGGCTCTATAGCTTTTAGGAAGTGTTTGGGCTTGGGACATGGGTGGGTATCGTCTTGAAGTGTGCCTCTGAGTGTTGTCCTGTCTCAGTGGGGTTGGGGAGAGATGGCTGACCTATCCACCATAGGAGGGGCTTTGAGGGATAGGTCACACAAATGACCCGACACCTAATGTCTCTAGCAGGAGCCAAGGGATGATCTAACTCCTCCTTAGTGGTAAAATTTATTCATTTATTATTATTATTTTGTTGTTGTTGTTGTTGTTGTTGTTTTTTCATGACAGGATTTCTCTGTGAAACAGTCCTGGCTGTCCTGGAACTTGCTTTGTAGACCAGGCTGCCCTTGAACTCACTGAGATCCTCCTGCTTCTGCCCCCCAAGTACTGGGCTTAAAGACGTACGCCACTAATGCCTTGTGAGTTAAAGTGACCTTTAATTGTTCTGGTATGAAGGATGCTTAAGAACCCTTCAAGGTCTCTGGGAGGATCTTTGGGCCATAAGCTGAGCTGTTTTCTTCCACACTCCCTCTCATGGGCATCTCGCCAAGCAGGGGGGACCCCTGGCAAACCCTTCCGCCCTCCCTCAGGCGGAGCGAGAGGGGGATGGGAAGAAAGTCTGAGATGAGACATTGGCCAGCGTTTTGGCAGGAAGGCTCTTTCAGCCCTGAGAGACAAACCCACGATGTGACTGAGGTTTGCCTTGGACAGATCCACACAGATACTGATTTAGCACAGGCTTGGGACCACGCGGTGAACTGGTGTCCATCTTTTTCTCCAACAGCCCCAACTACCGTGGAGACCACACTCCCAGCTACAACTCCCATCCTCCCACTAGCGAACGCTGGACACCTGAGGGTTAGCATCATTGAGGTGTTCCTCCTCCAAGTATGGTAAGGATCCAAGGCCTAGAAAGAGTCAGGTGCTTAGGATTCTGGGGGCTGGCAGTGTCACCCACGTTGAGGGGACCTTACTATTGAGTGGTAATCAATTCCCTCTGATATCAGTTTTCAAATTCTCCAAGCCTACATGTGGATGCCAAGTATGGCGGAGGGGCTGGAGGGACACAGGCTCAGAACGGAGTCTGTGTTTCGTAGTCACAGATCCTTCCCATTCCCACCTCTGTTTTCTATCCCTCCCCACTGGACTCTAGACTTGGAGTCCAAGCTCTGTGCCTCTTTCAAAAGTCATAGTTGAAGGCCAGGGAGGTGACTCAGTGTAGCCACTGAGTGCCTGCCACCAGGTCTAACAACCTTTGTTCAATCTCTGAGCCCCACAATAAACAGATGCAAAGGTCTTTGTTCAGCTGGGGTTCTTGCTCCTAGGAGCTGCTCATGAGGAGCAAGCTCAGCTCCAGGCTGAAGTTTGTGCTCGTTCTTCATTCTCTGGCACATGAACTCAGAAAGAGCTCTGATGCCTGTGCTAGCTAATCTCATGTCAGCTTGACACACAAACTAGAGCCACCTGAAAGGAGGGAACCTCGACTGAGAAATGCCTCCATAAGATCCGACTCTAGGACATTTCTTAATTAGTCACTGACGGGGAAGGGACCAGACCATTGTGGGTGATGCCACCCTTGGACTAATGGTCTAGCCTTCTGTAAGAAAGCCAGATGAGCAGACCATGGGGAGCAAGCCAGTAAGCAGCACTCCTCCACGGTTGTTGTAGGGGGGTGGCTGCGTGTTCATCCCAGCCACCCGGAACCAAAATAATCACACAGAAACTGTATTCATTAAACCACTGCTTGGCCCATTAGCTCTAACTTCTTATTGGCTAACTCTTACATTAATTTAACCCATTTCTATTCATCTCTGTATTGCCACGTGGCAGTGGTTTACCGGATAAAATTCCCAGCGTCTGTCTCAGTCGGACCCATGGCATTTCTCTCTGACTCAGCCTCCTTTCTCCCAACATTCAGTTCCATCCCACTGCCTCCATAAGTTCTTCCCCATTAACAGGCTCAAAGCAGTTTTTTTTATTAACCAATGAAAGCAGCACAAAGACAGAAGGACTTCCTATACCACATGGTCTCTGCATCAGCTCCTGTCTGCAGGTTCCTGCCCTGCTTGAGGTCTTGCCTGACTTCCTGTGGTGATAAATAGCAATGCTGAAGTGTAAGCAGAATAAGCCCTTTCCTCCCCAGCTTGCTTTTTGGTCATGGTGTTTCATTGCAGTAATAGAAAGCCTGACCCAGACAGTGCCTCTAGGCCTCGAATGGGGAGGGAAATTCAGGAGAACTAGTTTCAAGAAGTCAACTGAAGGCTGGGGACATGGTTTAGTTGCTAGAGTGCTTGCCTAACATGCACAAAGCCCAGAGTTCGATCCCCAGATTGGGTACTGTAGTATACACCTGCAATGTGCACCAGAGAATAAACCACAAAAGACACAGAGGTTCAAAGTTGTGACCGCATCAGGAAGCCAGCCTGAGCTATGCGAACTCTGCCCTACCACCAATAAACTCAATTAATAAGTGGGAGACAGTAGGTATCTCCGGGTCATGTGTCTAGAAAACTGTGTCTACCTAGAACCCTTTCCTGTCTTCACCATTCACCTCTCCTCAACAAGAGATGGGGTGGTGGGACCACAAGAGCAGACTTCTTTAAGTCATTTCCTAGCCTGATTCTGGATCATTTGGGATTCTGAGGCAAGCATTAGGGTATGTGGGAGGAGTCGGATGGGTCCTGGAACCTCCCCTTGAACTCATTGTCCATCCTCATGTGCCCACAGGTCCCTGCTCAGCAGCATCCACTTCCAGGTCCTGGTCTTTCTGAAGCTACCACTGTTTCTGAGCATGCTCTGTGCTGTCTTCTGGGTGAACAGGCTTCAGAAGATCCCTGGGGGGAATTTAGAATGAGCTACCCAAGAGCTATGGAAACATCCCAGGAATGCCCTGGGAGGGACTCAGCCCTGATTCTGCATGGAGGCAGCAGTGTTTGCATTCTGGACTTCACTATTCCCTCATCTCAAGGGAGGATCTTGACTATCTATGAGTCTTAGATATCTGACTCCTGTAGAGTCCTCAGCATTAAAGAGGGAACAAGGCTGGCAGTAATGGCACACACTTTTAATCCCAGTGCTGGAGAGGCGGAGGCAGGTGAGGCTCTGTGGATTCGAGGCCAGCTTGGTCTACATAGTGAGTTCCGGGACAGCCAGGGCTACATAATGAGACAGTCTCAAACATCCCCCACCAATCCCAAAATGGGAACAAGACTTCTCTGGGCCCTATGTTGGAGGCCCCCCCTTTCCCCCCTTTGCTAGATTTCTTGGATTGTGCTCTCACGTCAGCTTATCCAAAGGATAAGAATTCTCTAGAAGGTTCTTGAATACAAGCCTAGCCTCTTGATCACTGTGACATAAAAACATCTCAGGTCATTGTCTCCAATGGCAACAGCCACCTCCTTCCTGCAGTGAAGAGGTTCCCTGAGGAACATGTTTCTATTAGACTTGGATCCTGGGTCATGATCTCTCTTCTAGAACAAATCCCAGAGGATTTGGTTTCTATCTGAGCATCTTCACTGCCCACTCTTTCAAACACACAGCATTTTTTTCCTTGTCTGATCCTTTTAGCTCACCATGATCTTGAGGTCTCCTTATGTCCCCATGACCAGAGAGCGTGTGTCCGAGTTCGGCATGTGCTTGGCTGGACTGAAAATAGCTTGAAAGTGAAGCTCAAGTGTTTTTCTTTTCCATATCATCAGTAGGGAAAGAGACAGTGAGTGCCCTGATGCCACTCAATATTTCTGGGGGGTCTTCTGTGCATAGTGTTAACTGAGGGTCCATCTTTGTTCATTTTAGAAATTGGCTGAGTCCACCTTGGGGAGAAAGACAGATATCCAGAGACAGGTGTGGGGCCAGTGGTGAGGAGATATCACATCGTCTGGGCATCCACTGGACTTCCTCAGCTCAGAACGTGGCCGATTTGTTGACTGCTTGCCAGTTTCTTCCTTAATTCTCTTTGCAGGGGACCTCACAGGGTTAGCCACAGCATCAGCATCTCCATCCTTGATGCTCTTTGCAGGGGACCTCACAGGCTTAGCCACAGCATCAGCATCTCCATCCTTGATGCTCTTTGCAGGGGGCCTCACAGGCTTAGCCACAGCATCACCATCTCCATTTACCCCAGACATTCAGGTCAGACCTCTCTCTCCACCCTCAGGCTCAAGCCTGCCTTGAGTTAGTGGTATTCATTTCCAAAGGGAGGACACATGTATAGGAGCATCATAAGTGGATGTAAAGACCCAGGGAGGTAACTCTCACAATGATAGTTCTCCATGGAGCCTCCACACGCTGACAGAGCACACCATATATGTAGTTTCTTAGGGTGAAGCATGTCTGTCAGTCCAGCATGGTGAAGCTTTTCTTCTAGAAGTTCAGATGGAGTGTTTGGATTCAGCATCAACTCTTGCTTGTATTTTTTTCTGAACATTGGTTACACTTGAGCACACCAAGATCCTGGATGTAATAGAAGAAAGATTAGTGTGGGAAAGAGAGGGGAAAGTTTGAATGATGCAGAGGCTAGTGACTGCATTATCAGACAGAGGGTGTCAGCGAAGAGCTTAGAGGTGTGGGCTAGCAGAATATTGAGGGCTGGAGAGAAAGAAACAGGGAGAGAATAGCTGGTGTGCCCAGAGATAGGTGAAATTACCAGGTGAGCATTCAGGACCAAGAACAGAGCTCTGGAAGTGAGGTGAAGCAACTGAAGTAAGCGTTCAGGACCAAGGACAGAGACCACAGAGGCTCTTTGCGCCAACCATGAATGTTTCAGGAGGGAAGGTGATGTAAAAAGGCAGAACTGAGTTAAGATGAAGGGGGACACTGAACTTGACATGCACAGTCAGTGGAACCTCTAGAGACCTAGTGCCTATAGTGCAGAGTCCTATGAACCCTTCGCCAGCTTCCCCTAGTGGTGGCATACTGTGTGTGTGTGTGTGTGTGTGTGTGTGTGTGTGTGTGTGTTTGTGTGGAGAGGGGGGGAAGAGGAAGGAGGAGGAGTAGAGGTAGAAGAAGAAGAAGAAGAAGAAGAAGAAGAAGAAGAAGAAGAAGAAGAAGAAGAAGAAGAAGAAGAAGCAGCAGCAGCAGCAGCAGCAGCAGCAGCAGCAGCAGCAGCAGCAGCAGCAGCAGCAGCAGCAGCTGGTGCTAGTACCATATTGTGAATGGGATTGCAGCCCTTATCAGCTCTCAACAGTTTTCACTTGTGTTCATTTGCATGCACGTTTAATTATGCACTGTTGTCCTACATGTACAGCTATGTAAGCCATCATGGTCAAAACAGAGAATTGCTTCATCATCACAAAGCCTACTTCATGCCACTCTGTCTCACGACTGCCCGCTAGAGACCACTGGTATACTCTCCAACTCTGGTTTTGTCACTTTGAGAATGTTCTGGAAATGGAAGCATTTCAGTGTCATATTTTGAGATCAGCTTTCCCACTCCCTCAGTAATTACGATGCCTTTGGGATCCACACAAGGAGATATACTTAGTCATAATTCATTCCTCTTTATTACTGGGTATTATTCCATTGTGCCGTACAAGCAGATGTACTTAGAAATAATTCATTCCTCTTTGTTACTGGGTATTATTCCACTGTATAATGGAATAGATTCACAACAGCTTAACCACTTGTTCACTGCAGTATTCGGATCATTTCCTTTACAAATAAAACTGTTATCCACATTCACACATGTTTTCTTTTATATGATTATGCTCTTTTACTTCTCCAGTGTATGCTTGTACAGCTGCTAAGATATATAATGAGTCCATGTTTAGTTTTATAATGAATAACCCAACTATTCCAGCATGGCAATGTTATCTTATTTTCCCATCAGTAAGGAAAGAAAGACCCAGTTTCTTTGACTATTAACATTATTTCTTTTAAAGAACTTAGATTTATTTTGTGCCAACAGAGCTTTGCTTGCATATTTGTCTGTGCACCATGTGCATGCATGCCTGGTGTCCCCAGAGGTCAGAAGAGGGCATCAGATTCCTTGGGACTAGCGTTATGGATGGTTGTGAGTCTCCATGTAGGCGCTGGGAGCCAAATATGAGTCTTCTGCAAGAGCAGCAAGTGCTCTTTTGAAATTTTCATTTTTATTCTTCACATACATTACATCCCAACCACAATTTCTCCTGCCTCCTCGCCTCCAACCCCCATCCTCTCTCCCCTAGACCCACTCTTCTGCTTCCCTTAAAAAAGAAAGAGCAGGCCTTCCAGGTATATTAACTGAACAGCATAGCAAATTACAATAAGACTAGGCACAAACTCTTATATTAAGGCTGGATGAGGTGGTACAGTAGGAGGAAAAGGGTCCCAAGCTCAGACAAAAGAGTCAGAGTTGCCTCCCATTTCTACTGTTAGGAGTCCCACAAGAACATCAAGTCATGCAACCATAATGTATGTGAAGAGGACCTGGCTCAGACCATACAGGGTCCTTGATTATCGCTTCAGTCTCTGTGAAGCTCTATGAATTCTGCTTAATTGATTCTATGGCCCATGTTCTCACGGTGACCTCAACCCCTTTGGCTCCTAGAACCCTTCATCTCCCTCTTCTTCAGGGTTCCACTGGCTTAGCCTAGTGTTTGGCTGTGGGCCTCTGCATCTGTGACTGTCAGTTGCTGGACAATGTCTCTCTAACTACAATTGGGCTAGGTGACAGTCTATAGGTATAGTAGACTACCACTAGGAATCATTTCATTGACTTTTTTCTGCCAGTCATTTTTGGTTCTATTCTGGGTCTCTGGGCTGGCCAGCGTCTTTTCCTGGCCACCCATACAATGTCAGGGTTGGGCTCCCTCTCATGTTGTGGACCTCAAGCCAGACCAGTCATTATTGGTTGGCCACTCCCACAGGTTCTGTGCCACCTTTTCCCCAGCACACCTTGCAAGCTGGACATATTGTAGGTTGAAGGTTTCATGGCTGGGTTGATGACCCAGTCCCACTGCTAGGAGCCTTGCCTGATTATAGAAGATGGACAGTTCAGGCACCATAACTCCCATTACTAGTAAATTTCACTACGGTCATTCTCATAGATTCTGTGGAGTTTCCACTGCACTAAGTTTCTACATTGCCCCCCAAGTGCTTCCAAATTCCTGTCATTTCTCCCAGTACTCTCTCCTTCTATCCCCATTTCCCCTGCCTAAACCCTTCTGCTGTCCCCGTTCCCACACATCCAAGTCCACCTTCAGCTAGGCAGTGGTGGCTCGTGCCTTTAATCCCAGAACTCAGGAGACAGAGGATCTCTGTGAGTTTGAGGCCAACCTGGTCTACAGAGCGAGTTCCAGGACTATCTCCTTAGCTACTGAGAAACCCTGTCCTGAAAAACAAGTAAAACAAAACAAAACAAACAAAAACACACAGCCACCTGCAAAATCTATTCTGTTTTTCTTCCCAGAGAGGTCCATGTATCACCCACCTTGAACCCTCTTTGTTACTTAGATTCTCTGGGTCTGTGGACTGTAACATGAGCATCGTTTACAGCTAATATCCGCTTACAAGTGGGTACATACAATGTTTATCTTTCTAGGTTTGGGTTACCTCGCTCAGAATAAATTTAAATTTTTCTAGTTCCACCCATTTACCTGAAAATTTCATGATGTCATTGTTTTAAACGGCTGAGCAATACTCAATTGTGTAAATGTACCACATTTTAAAAAATCCATTCTTCTGTTGAAGGGCATAAAAATTGTTTTTAGTTTCTGGCTGTTATGAATAAAGCAGCTATGAACATGATTGAGCAAATGTCCTTGTGGTAGGATGAAACATTCTTTGGATGTATGCCCAAGAGTGGTATAGCTGGGTCTTGAGGAACATAGATTCCCAATTTTCTGAGGAATCTTCATATTGATTTCCAAAGTTGCTGTACAAGTTTATACTCCTGCCAGCAATGGAGGAGTGTTCCCCTTGCTCTACATCCTTGCCAACATGAACTGTCACTTATATCTTTTTTTAAAAAAAATCTTAGCCATTTTGACAGGTATAATATGGCATCTCAGAGTAGTTTTGGATGCATTCCCCTGATGGTTAAGGATATTGAACATTTCTTTAAGTGTTTCTCAGAGATTCCTTTGTTGAGAATTCTCTGTTTGATATGCATCCCTCTTTTTAACTGGCTTATTTGGTTTTTTGATGTCTAGTTTTCTGAGTTCTTTACAAATTTTATATATTAGCCCTCTGTCACATGTGGAGTTGGTGAAAATCTTTTCCCATTCTGTAGATCATCATTTTGTCCTGTTGATGGTTTCCCTTGCCTTACAGAAGCTTTTCAGTTTCATGAGGTTCCATTCATTAATTGTTGATCTTAGTCCCTAAACTATTGGTGCTCTGTTTAGGAAGTTGTCTTTTGTACCAATACGCTCAGGGCTATTCCCCACTTTCTCTTCTAATTGGTTAAATGAATCTGGTTTTATGTTGAGGTCTTTGATCCACTTAGACTTGAGCTTTGTGCAGGGTGATAGATATGGATCTGTTTGCATTCTTCTACATGCTGTCATCCAGTTAGACCATCACTATTTGCTGAAGATGCTTTGTTTTTCATTGTGTATTTCCGGATTATTTATAAAAATCAGGTGGCTATAGGTGTATGGATTTACTTCTGGGTCTTAAATTCAATTCCACTGAACCTGTCTGTTTTTTATGTCAATACCATACAATTTTTATTAGTGTAGCTCTATAGTATAGCTTGAAATTGGGAAAACCAGATCTCATTATAAATGGCTGTGAGTCACCATGTGGTTGCTTGAAATTGAACTCAGGACCTCTGGAATATCAGTCAGTTCTCTTTACCACTGAGTCACCTCTCCAGCCCCTTAAAGTCTTTTTCTTATGTTTCTCTTGTGTTGGAATATCCAGGGGTTGCTGTAGTAGGATAGCCAGGTTCTGGTGGTGACATACTGCCTTGGCTGCTGTTGATTGTGTTCTTATGCTGGCCTCTAGGCATTTGGATTGATTATAGGTCTAGGTGCTGATTTCTGAGTTTGTCTTTGTTGTATGGATTTTTTTTTTTTTTGGTTTCTGTTTCTTCTCTGGTCTTCTTGTAGGCATGGCCTAAACTTCTTGGATCTGCTTGGTCTGTGGTAAAGTGCAGACTCTGTGCCCCAGTTTGGGCCTGGAGCATGGCAACTAGGAGGGTACAGGCCTGGGGGCAGGGCAGGGGATGCCGAGATAGTGAGAGAGTGGTGGTTTTGGCAGGTGGGCAGCCTAACTGGACTTCTCTCTGTCTGCTTGGTCTCTGGCAAAGCAGGAAGTCTCTGCCCCAGTTGAGGACTGGGTGTTGGTGGTCAGTATGGTCTCTGGCAAAGCAGGGAGTCTCCACTCCAGTTGGAGGCTGGGGCACAGCAACTAGAAGGTCTTAGGACTGGGGATAGTGGGGGTGGGGGCGGTACCAAACTAGTGAGAAGGGGGAGATTGACAGGTTTGGCAGGAGGGCAGCTAATCTGGACTTCTCCCAGTCTTGAAGTAAGCACTCTTAACTACTGAAACATCTCCCTGGCTAAATATTTTAAACTCTTATGACATTCAATCCATCAAATTTTTGTTGACAGAAGTTTCTGTCCTGCCTGGCCCCACAGCCATTCAGTTTCAGCAAAACACACAGAGGCTTATATTAATTATAAACTGGTTAGTCTATTAGCCCAGGCTTATTATTAAGTAGCTCTTACAACTTAAATTAACCCATAATTCTTGTCTATGTTTAGCCATGTGTCTTTGCACCTGACTCAGTGAGGCATTCTCATCTTGCTTCCTCTCCATCTGGCTGGTGACTGCAGACTGAGCCTTTCCTCTCCCTAGAATTCTTCTAGTCTGGCCACCCCACCTACACTTCCTGCCTGACTATTGGCCAATCAATGTTTTATTTAATCAATACAAGTGACAAATCTTTACAGGGTACAAAAGCATTGTCCCATATAACTTTCATTTTAAAGGTTATTTTGATGTTGTGTATAAGAAATCATTAGTTACCTTTTATTTGTTCCAACTTTTAGAAAGTTTTAAAGTATCTATCTACTATTTGTTTATTTACTCCTCCACCTCGTGTGTGTGTGCATGCGCGTGCGTGCGTGCTCGTGTGTGCACTCACATGAGCATGCAGGCTCATAGGAGGGTGTGAGATGTCTCGTTCTATCACTTCCCACCTTATTCCCTTGAGCCAGGATCTCTCCCTGAACTGGAGCTCACCTTTTTTAGCTAGATTGGTAGCCAACAGACCTGAGTTTTGTAGCTTTCGATCTATCATTGGAGCTCATGAGTTGTGATTTATTTTGGATTTCTTAGTCAGTACAGAGGGGAGCGGTTCTAGGCATCGAGTTTTCTAGCATGCGGGTATCCAAATGTTTCAATAGTGTTTGTTAAGCTCACCATCTTTCCAGGATTGTTTCTGTTTTTGTCAAAACAAAAAACAAACAAAAAACTAGTCAAACACATTTGAGTGGAGGATGTGTGACATTACCTAGAACCCAGGGAAAGATGAAGCCACCGAAATATGGATTCTGGAGCAAGGACAGAGCTTCCACAGTGGAACTTTACACAGACAACAAATTTCCCTTAAATTGTTGTAAGCAAAAGAGAACGTGTTTGTCAATCCATGCAGAACCTCAGAAGCTAGTCTGTGACCTCTGACTAAAAGGAGACTTCAGAGCTGTGGATGGATGCCTGTGGCCATATGGTACCCCAGCAGGCATGGGGACTGAACATCCAAGGTGCACAGATGGGCCTGAGGGAACAATGTGGGGACATGTCAGCAGGGCAGATTCAGCTCTTCTGCTTGTCTTGTGACTAAGCCCACAGCGTCACATCTTCAGGTCTTTATATATATATATATATATATATATGACAATTTAAATTTTTATGCATAAAAGTTGATGGAAAACCATTACTAGTTTAGAGATATTCTGATTGAGGGTCCCATTATGGGGATAACAAGAAACCTGGCACTAGAGAAATTCCCAGGAACCCACAAGGTTGACCTCAACTAAGACCCTAAGCAATAATGGAGAAGGTGCCTGAACTGGCCTTACCCCGTAGTGAGATTGATGAATATATTAAATATCACCATAAAACCTTCATCCTGCAACTGATGGAAACAGAGGCAGAGACCTGCAGTGGAGCACTTAGTTGAGCTCCCAAAGTCCAGCTGAAGAGTGGGAGGAGGGAGAATATGAGCAAAGAAGTCAAGACCATAATGGAGACACCCACTGAAACAGTTAACCTGAGCTAATGGGGGCTCACCAACTCCGGTTGGACAGGGAAGGAACCACCATAGGACCAAACTAGATCCTTTGAATGTGGGTGACAGTTGTATGGCTGGGCCATACAATTCAGTAGCACCAGGATTTGCCCCTGTTGTCTGTACTGGCTTTCTGGAACACAATCTCTTTGGATGGATACCTTGATCAGCCTGGATATAGTGGGGCAAGGCCTTGATCCTTCCTCAGAGCAGTTTGCCTTTCCCTCTCTGGGGAGTGGATAGGGGTGCGAAGGTGGGGGGGAGAAGGTGGAGGAATTGGGAGAAGGGGGTAGTGGGAACTGGGATTGGTATGTAAAATGAAAAAAGATAGTTTGTTTTCTTTTTTAAAAGAAGTATTTAAAAATAAAATAAAAAGCTTAGAATTTAAATTGTAAAACATAGTAAGTCTACTTATTAAATACCATTTTCTAGAATACAACTTTCAAACATATAACATACTTGTTTGATCTCAGTACAATGGATTCAAGACCAGGTATACATGTTACATGCATCAAGGCTAGATTACAGCTTATCACAGTCGCCACCATCTTTGTAGTCGACAGCATCATCTCCACGCTTTCTTTCAAGCGCGTTTGTGGACTCATTGGCTGTATTTTGTGATACCGTAGTCGTAGTAAAAAGAATGTTTTTGGACCCAATTAATGACGGATTAGCCAGAACATTCTGAACCGCCGTTGCTGTGGGAATTGAAGCTTTCACAGCTGGGGACCGAGAAGAAGGATCTGTACTGTAAACCTTTGTCCTGTGAGGGACATTGGGGTGCCTACTTTAGTTGAGACAGACATGGTTTGTGGAGTTTGTGTGCCTAGTACGGGAGTACTCGGTCTGCTAGAAACTGAACCAGCACATCACCCATGGAACGGTTATTCTTCCTGCAGGAGTAGGTGCCTTTTTCTGTAATGACTGAAACCTGTAGATTGGGATAGTAGAGCAATAGATGTCAGGAAACAATCTAGGATCTGAGTATGGCTTGATCAATGGCAAAGGGGTTTGATTTCTTTGTCTTGCAATATCTAATAAAAGATCTATCCTGAGAGGGGAAGTGAGAGGCTGGTTGACCCGGGACTGGATTGCCAATCCCACATCATCTGTATCAATAGTAGCTTTCTTAGCATGGCTGGGATAAACTTTAGCATCATCTAGAATTGTGGTCACATATCAGAAGGCAAGCTCCAACGTCTGATTTATAACTCTCGGTGCATATTCTGTAATCCCCAGTCCCCTCAGGAACTGTACCATCGTCTGTGCTTCTTCCTGCACGCTTGTGGGAGAAGACATCCCGCCAGACTCCGTGCTACCCGGTGATCAGACCTCTTGGTTAAGTCACCCACATTAATGCACTTCAGTCCTGATCTTGAGGCAAGTTCTTTGCTAGTGTGGTTTTCAGTGTGATTTTTCCAGCCCCTGGTGTACCCATGAGCAGGATGTTTGGAGGGTTCATAGTCCTCCTTCAACCACAGTTGGCACCTTGGCTCACATGCCCAGCATGCTCTCCAGGTAGGAGTCGGAGAGCCTTATTGTCCTTATAATAGGTAATGAGACCATCCTAGATTAAGATCCTTTTCTGTAACAGTTTACTGTCCTGGCTGCAAAGTCTTTAAAACTCCCCTTGCTCATCAGGATCAATCTTCCTTCCCCTTGCGCCTGGGTGTTCTGGGACAGTTTCAGCCAGAAGATGGCGGTGTGGTTCTTAATCTTTCCTTCAAGAAGTATCTTATGGACCTCAGTCTAGGTTTTAGAACTGCCTACATTCAAGGTTGGTTGTCTCTCCCCATTCAAACTTCTCTGTACACAGCCTCACAGAGACACTTCTAGGGTGGTCTCCTGGGTGATTTCAAATCTAATCAGGCTGACAATGAAGATTGGCCATCATAAGCATTCCCCTTGTGTGCCTGTCTCTATCTCTGCCTGTCTCTAACTTTGTCTCTGTCTCTCTTTGTGTGCCTGTCTACTTAAAAACTTTCTCCATGAATTTGATGCCAGGGATACACTGTATCAATATCTATCCATACAACTGGACCTCTGGATTTAAATCAACTGCAGATTCCCTCGATTTGGGAGGCTGACACTTGAGAGAGAGAGAGAGAGAGAGAGAGAGAGAGAGAGAGAGAGAGAGAG